TTCTTGCCTGCTTCCAAGTCTTTCCTAGATTTAGAATGTCTTTCTACCCAAAGGGCAGCCATGTGATGAATAAATTCATTTCAGCAGTCATTAGAGCTGTCTGTAGCTTGGCGGTTAGGCAGCTGTGGCTAAGGTGAGGCAAGTTGGAGATTTATCATTTGCTCTTTTTTATACTGGAATTTTCTGGGCCAAGTCTAAGTTTTGTTTTCTCTTTGCCTTCTCATAATGTAACTTCATAAACATTTTATTCACATCACCAAATTTTCTAGCATTTTCAGTAAGATACAAAGGAAAATCAAGCAATGTTTAGCTCTCTGATTAACAAGCCTCAGAGGATTTCTAGAGAATAAGTCGTATCAGGCAAAGTTGAGTGTCGGTGTGTGTGTATTTTAATAGAATTGCTCTGGAAATCAAAAAGGGAATCTAATACATGTAACTTACATAGCTTGTAGTAATGTATTGAAACAGGGTCTCATGACATTTTGTTTTGAAGCTTGATTAAACTTGGCCATAGAATGGGCACTGTCCCATTGAGTGACCACACACAGCGGGCCAAGGGAACACTGCAGAATGACCAGCTGTCCCCCACCACTTCAGGTGGCAGTGGTTGGGAGTGGGCCTCAAGTACCAGGAGAAAGCTCTTCCTTTCTCAATGTCATGGTTAATCTAACAGTAAAAGTAGAATTTACCAGGTGTTATTAAACTGAGAGAAGCCCTTAACGGTGTGAAATGTTAAGAAATAGTAACCAGGAATGTTATTTTCTAGGTGAGCAAACTAAGTCTGAGAGAGGTAACTAGCCTGAGGTTGTATAGCTAGTAAGTAAGCATTACCAGCATTCAGGCTTAGTTCTAATAGACTCCAAATTCATATGATCATCTGTCATCTAGAATACTGTTAAGTCCTAGTTGCATTAATATATCAAAATTGTTATATTAATATAACAATATACCAAATATATTAATATATATCCTTTACATATTAAAATATATCCATTAATATATCAAAATTGTATCTTAAATAAATGCCTTTATTTTTGTTAATTTATGCCTTTTATGAATTATGCTTTCATAGTACTTTAACTCATTTTTAATAAGTTTATTGAGACATAGTTTACATATATACAATTTGCCCTGTTAAAGTGGACAACTTAATGATTTTTAGCATATTCAAGGGGTTATACAACTGTCACCACAGTCTACTTAGGACATTTTCATTCTCCCTAAAAGAAACTCCTCACCCATGAGCAGTTACTTGCCATTTCCTCCTGTCCACCTCCTACCCCCCCAGCCCATGTCCAACCTGCTGACTATGTTTATAGATTTGCCCATTCTGGACATTTCATATAAGTGGAATAATGCAACATGAATAGTGTATGATCATCACACACAGAAAAGACTGGCTTCTTTAACTCAGCATAATATTTTTAAGGTTTATTCATGTAGTAGCATGTGTAAATACTCCTTTTCTTTTTATGCCTGAATAATAGTCCATTATACTAATATGCCACATTTAGTTTATTTACTTATCAATTGATGGACATTTGGTTTGTTTCTTTCTTTGGGCTATTATAAATAATGCTTCTTTAAATATTTGTGAACAAGTTTTTTTAGTGGACATATATTTTCAGTTCTGTTGGGCATAAACCTAGAAGTGGCATTGCTAGGTCATAGAGTAACTCAGTGTTTAACTTTTGAGGAACTGCCAATTATTTTCCAGGGTGACTGTATCATATTCCCACTAGTAAGATATGAGGGTTCCCGTTTCTCCACATCCTTGCCAATGCTCGGTATTGCTCATCTTTTCTCTCATTTAATTCTCATAATCCTATGAATTAGTCAAAGAAAAACATTCTTACTGATATTTTATAGATGTGTGTGTACTTTGCTCAGTCATGTCCAACTCTTTGCGATCCCATGGCCAGGCTCCTCTGTCCATATAATTTTCCAGTCAAGAATACTGGAGTGGGTTGCCATTTCCTACTCCATTTTATAGATAAAAGCTGCAAATCAACAACCATTCAATGGAAAGCTCAGAATGGGTATAAATAGAGGGGAAGAAGTTAATCGATAAATGGGGCATAAGCATGGATAGTTCAAAATAAATTATCCAAAAGTAATTTAAGAGTTTTTGCATCTGACACAGCTGTGACGGATGTGAGAGATCATATTTCCCACCCCTACATTTTTAAGGTGATGAAACTAGAGCCATTTTTAGTGGACATATATTTTCAGTTCTGTTGGGCATAAACCTAGAAGTGGCATTGCTAGGTCATAGAGTAACTCAGTGTTTAACTTTTGAGGAACTGCCAATTATTTTCCAGGGTGACTGTATCATATTCCCACTAGTAAGATATGAGGATTCCCGTTTCTCCACATCCTTGCCAATGCTCGGTATTGCTCATCTTTTCTCTCATTTAATTCTCATACTCCTATGAATTAGTCAAAGAAAAACATTCTTACTGATATTTTATAGATGTGTGTGTACTTTGCTCAGTCATGTCCAACTCTTTGCGATCCCATGGCCAGGCTCCTCTGTCCATATAATTTTCCAGTCAAGAATATTGGAGTGGGTTGCCATTTCCTACTCCATTTTATGGATAAAAGCTGCAAATCAACAACCATTCAATGAAAAGCTCAGAATGGGTATAAATAGAGGGGAAGAAGTTAATCGATAAATGGGGCATAAGCATGGATAGTTCAAAATAAATTATCCAAAAGTAATTTAAGAGTTTTTGCATCTGACACAGCTGTGACGGATGTGAGAGATCATATTTCCCACCCCTACATTTTTAAAGTGATGAAACTAGAGCCCCGGAAAGGGAAGTACATTGAACACTGACCTAAGTTATTTAGTAGGGAAGCCAGGACTAGAAGCTCTGTCTTCTTGGCTCCCAGGCCATTGCCTATTCCATCACAGCCTATTGCATTCTGCCCTGGGGGATGTATAAACTCATCCATATCATAGGAAAACTCCGTTTTCCTAACTCATTCATCCATGCTGACCTCTTATTAAAATAAGCCTATCTTAATTCAAATAGGTTATTGAAGGGCCAATAAAGCTGAAACCTCCCATTGGGAAACTTCTGATAGAATTTGTTCCACATATTGCCTATGATGAAACTAATGTGCAGGCAGAAAATTAATACAGACAGTGTTACTTGGTGACGTTTCTTGGGTCAGATTGCTTGGGTGTGATTTCTGGCTCCCTCACTTAATAACTGCTTGACCCTTTCTATAATTCTGTCTCTTTAGTTTTTTTAAATGAGGATAGGTAGTGCTAGTGGTTAAAACAAAACAAAACAAAACAAAAACCTGCCTGCCAATCCAGCAGACTTAAGAGGGGCAAGTTCGATCCCTGAGTCAGGAAGATTCCCTGAAGGAGGGCATGAACCCACTCCAATATTCTTGTCTGGAGAATCCTATGGACAAGAGGAGACTGGCAGGCTACAAGTCCATAGGGTCACACAGAATTGGACATGACTGCAGCGACTTAGCACACACACATGCAGTATTAGTATCTACCTTACAGAATCATTCCGAGAGTGAAATGAGAGAATCCCTGTAAAGAGATTTAGCATAGTGCCTGGCTCCTGAAGACCCTCAATCAATGTTAACAATTATTATTACATACCATCAACTTGCTCAGACCACTGAAAACATTGTACTATATGGTTTTTAGAAAATCAATCCATCATTCCTTTTTAAAAATAACTTCCTTTAAAAATAACTGTTCCTTTAGGGAACAGGCCTAGGAAATAGCTGTTTTCTAAAGTCTTCATAATTTGAGTTATATGGAATATGATTAAATTCCCTTTGTTAAGAGAAAAAAACATACTGTGTTAATTTCCCATCCTTTACACTGTGTGAATTGATTTCCTTTATACTGTAACTTTGGGCAGAAGGCAACCTGGAAATTTCAACCTATGTTAAAAGCCCCTATAATGGGAAATCCTAACTAAAGTACATGTGTGTATGCTAGGCCACTTCAATTGTGTCTGACTCTGTGCAGCCCTATGGACTATAGCCTGCCAGGCTCCTCTGTCCATGGGATTCTCCAGGCAAGAACACTGGAGTGCATTGCCATGCCCTTCTCCAGGGCATCTTCCTGACCCAGGGATTGAATCTGTGTCTCTGCACTGGCAAGTGAATTCTTTACCACTAGTGCTACCTGGGAAGCCCACATATACTGTTACTGCTGTTTTTCCTCATGTCTTTATTTGATTATCGGGATAAGAACTCACTGGATTATTTTGTGGAGCCAACTGTATACATTTGTGTACCAGAGCAGAAAAAAGGTCTTCCAACTGGGGAATCCAAAGATAGGATTAATATCCCTGCCTTTCCCACCCTGGTTCATGACCACAGGCAATGTGCTCCTCTCAGTATTAAGTTCATCAGAGATCTAAGCTTCTGTTTCCTCATCTGGGATAGGATTGATGATTTTGATCTCAGAGGGTAGTTATGAGGACCAAATGATAACCTGAGTATAACAGCATTAGCCCGGTGCCTGACCCCCAGTTGAGGTTCAGTAAATGACAGCTAGACAGCAGTGTAATGGGGTTCTATATGCCACACATGAGATTTGGAGGCAGATTTGATGGTAAGTTTAGGTGGAGAAATTGGACAAGTCTGTGTTCACATAGTATGATTCATGTCTACTCTGCTGTTGCTGCTGCTGCTTTCCTGTAACCAATTTTAGAGCCTATCTTGGCAGCTAAAAGTATTTGGGATTAATTTCACACTCACTTTATGAGTTGAGCGTTTTCCTGCAAGCAGCTCCCTGGACCTCTGCCTCATTACTTTGGCATCAACTGATATGGCAGTTGGACAGAGATGTCCTTTGGGGTCTCCATTTTATTTGGAATCCGTCAATTTGAAAAAGCAAAACAAAGGCCATCAACACATTGTGCTTGAAATCATTAGCGTTCATTGTTTCCTAAACCCCTTCCTTTCTGTAGTTCTGTCGAACACCAGGGAACACACATCTTGTACAGCCAGTGATGGGTCCTGAAAAATCACTCTCCCTCAAATGTAAGCCCCAGCAGCTGGTTGGCCTCATTTCTCAGTTCCAGGTGAGCTGTAAGATCCTCTAGGCCCTGGTCAGACAGATCTAACTCTTGGTGGGTCTAGTTTTTCCATCCCCTTTTACTATGTTAATTCTGCTAAATTCATTTGGCTCTCGTGGAGCACAGAGTAAACTTGGCTGTTATGTGTAAGACTAAATTGAGAACATGGAGATCTGTTTAGTATTTCATGCTGGCCAGCAGGTCAGGAAGATTTTCCTTGGGGGTAATTTACATAAGGAATTGTTTATCCCATTTCTTTCCAATTTCTGTGACCATTTGGGGATAGCGGACTCTTTCCACAATGGCACAGAAATATATCCAGTGAGACTGAAACGTAGAGAAATGATGCTTCTCTGGGATTGATGTATTTTGGGTCTTGCTCAGGAAAGATCCTGTGGCTTGGGCTGCTGTCTCACTGAGAAGTCATTCTTCCACCACAGCTGTGTTTAGCAAGTTGGGTGGGTCCACGAACTGACATGCTGTTACACTTAGTAAGAATTTTCCCCTGATAGTAAGGAACGTGCATAAAAGCCTAACTTAAGTCCCAGCAAATGCCCTAAATGTTTGCTACGATCCAGTGGCTACTTAGTGCACTATCTCCGTGAGATAATGCCCACACTCAGAATACTTAATGGCTTCCCAGTACCTGCACACTCTTCACCTTGACATTTTGCTTCCTCTGCGACGGTTGCCCAGATGATCTTTTTTGTCTCATCAAATGCTCTTCCCAAACTGGAATATTTGTTCCTTGCTAAACAAGCAGCCTCTACGTTTGTGTTTTAATGCAGTTGCTCAGGTTGTTTCCTTTCCTTTTAAAGCCCCTTTATCCAGTATCTGTTCTTGAGGACAAATTTCAGGCACGTCTTCTCAGTGGCATGCCAGTAACTATTCAACAACTGGCTGTCTTCGAGGAGCAGGGTGGGTGGGAAGCCTAACTTTATAACATTTGTTGATTTGCATGTTGTAAATACTTCCACCAAGGCTGATTTCAAGCTTCTAGTGTGAGGTCACTGAATATGGAGTGGGGAAGAACTGGGTATTAATCCCCACCCCCCACCCCCACTGCAGAGTGTTTCCAACATACAAATGCAAGTGACATAAATAATCTCAAGGGCCTAGATAATATTAAATAATTAGAAAGTAATGCATTTTGACTATTACTTTTGTTTTCCCATAACTTGCTAAAGTCTCTATAGTTTAATTTTAAGTAATGGCCATATTTAACACCTGGCTCACAAAATTTCTGAAAATTAAATAATCAGTCCTTTCTCCTGAACCTATAGGAGCTGGCTGAGCCTGTGGTGTCTGATTCTTCTTCTATATTTTGCTTCCCAAGGCCCTCCACATTCACTGGTAGTTAGGTACTTCTCTGAACCTATAAGGTGCTTTGCATCTCATGCAGACTTTAGAGTCTCCAACTTTGAATGCAGGTCTCTCATTTACTATGTGATGGTCAAACTGGCTACTTAAATTGCACTTCTCAGTGCACAATGAAAATACAGGGCCCTTGTTAAAAGGTAGAAGAAAGTGCTGTTAAAACAGCTACTAAGATATAAAGATCTTTCCTTTCTTCAGTGGTCTCTCACACCTTCTGGTGGTGGTTTGAGTTTCTATTTAATGTCATTCCAAGTAAGGAAAAATTAAAATTTTTAATTGTTAGCATGAATTTTATGAGGAATCTTTATATTGTGCGATGGCAGTTTAAAATGCAAATATAAGAGCATTAAACTCTCTGAGTCAGTGAGCATATCTCCTCTGATCATGTGCATGCTCCATTATCCTCTGGACTTCACTTAAAAAGCACAGATTCAAAAATAAAATGATTAAGAATTTTAAGAGAGAGACAGCAGGGACTTAAACCAAGCGTGGAGCCCTTTTAAGCACAGGCGCAGTAGACACACCCTTTGTACAGTATTGGGCACATCCCTTACATCTGCCGAGCTTCAGGGGCCTCATCCATAAAATGGAGATCTTGCCAACTAAGTCTCAGTGGAGATGTGAGGATTGAAGGCGCTGATACCTGTGTGGCACAGAGCAGGTTGCTTGGCATACAGCTCATGCTAAATTAATTGGAGGGATTGTTGTTAATGTAATAATCATAACATTAGTGGCATTCTCCTCCTTAATAGTCTACTGGGCCTTCCCTATGTTGTCAATGTTTGCCAAATAATCAGTCCTTTCTCCTGAACCTATAGGAGCTGGCTGAGCCTGTGGTGTCTGATTCTTCTTCTATATTTTGCTTCCCAAGGCCCTCCACATTCACTGGTAGTTAGGTACTTCTCTGAACCTATAAGGTGCTTTGCATCTCATGCAGACTTTAGAGTCTCCAACTTTGAATGCAGGTCTCTCATTTACTATGTGATGGTCAAACTGGCTACTTAAATTGCACTTCTCAGTGCACAATGAAAATACAGGGCCCTTGTTAAAAGGTAGAAGAAAGTGCTGTTAAAACAGCTACTAAGATATAAAGATCTTTCCTTTCTTCAGTGGTCTCTCACACCTTCTGGTGGTGGTTTGAGTTTCTATTTAATGTCATTCCAAGTAAGGAAAAATTAAAATTTTAAATTGTTAGCATGAATTTTATGAGGAATCTTTATATTGTGCGATGGCAGTTTAAAATGCAAATATAAGAGCATTAAACTCTCTGAGTCAGTGAGCATATCTCCTCTGATCATGTGCATGCTCCATTATCCTCTGGACTTCACTTAAAAAGCACAGATTCAAAAATAAAATGATTAAGAATTTTAAGAGAGAGACAGCAGGGACTTAAACCAAGCGTGGAGCCCTTTTAAGCACAGGCGCAGTAGACACACCCTTTGTACAGTATTGGGCACATCCCTTACATCTGCCGAGCTTCAGGGGCCTCATCCATAAAATGGAGATCTTGCCAACTAAGTCTCAGTGGAGATGTGAGGATTGAAGGCGCTGATACCTGTGTGGCACAGAGCAGGTTGCTTGGCATACAGCTCATGCTAAATTAATTGGAGGGATTGTTGTTAATGTAATAATCATAACATTAGTGGCATTCTCCTCCTTAATAGTCTACTGGGCCTTCCCTATGTTGTCAATGTTTGCCTCCTTGACCTGTTTTAATTTCCTTTCTCCATTACAAACTCTTTGAAAATGGAGTTATATCTGTTGCCATTGAATTCCCTGTAGCACTTCCTGCAGATTCTTGCACATGCCTGGCACTCAGGAGGTGTTTATCACCTTGATCTTTGTGTGATTTGGACTTATTGACAGAAAGCATCTGTGTCATAATATTGATACGATGGCACCCACAATGAAGCTTTATTAGTAGCATTCACAAGAAGAAAAAGAAATTAGACTCTGACAGAAGTTCATTGTAATCATGGTGAAGGTGGGGGAAGCAGATGACTCCAGGTGTTTTGGTTTAAGGAAAGTGGCCTCTCCATCTCTTTGCAGGGACTTCTTGAAGTAATGGGGAAGGGATGAGTTCCAAGCCTCGTTTGAGTTAAAGAGGCCCCAGGGATATTAACTCTGGCCCACAGTAATCTGTCCCTTAGCTAGCTTCTTTTGCACTTACTTTCTGTTCTGCACAATTAGGACGTTATTGCCGGAATGCTTCTTTCCACTAATTGGTTGTGTATGTATGTTTTCTATCCAACAAATTATAAGATCCTCATGGGTTATAGCATATCATGTACTTTCAAAAGCCAATGAAAAGTAGCACAGTAATAGGCACCCAGTAGGCAGCGTGCTTTATTGTTAATGCTGACCTTGGTCCAAACTCCCAGGGCTCCCTAGAGAGCTGAATGTGATGTGTGACTGCCTTTCATAACTCCTGCAAGCCCTCAACCAAGTGGCAAAGAATCCTGGTTTGTTTGGCTTTGTCAGGCAAGGGCCTTCAGGGTGCTTTGTCTTTCTCTAACCTACATCTCTTTTCCAGTGCCTCACAGATGCTCTAAGGACTGTCCCCCTCTAGCCTTTCTCCTACATGGAATTTGGGAGACCACACAGCTGCAGACTGTGTTTGTCTGAATGATGATTTTTTAAAATAGGCCCTTTGGGCCAGTGTCAGTAAGCCATGAAATATCACCAAATGGGTCATCTACATTAGACTTCTGAAACTCATCTGAGCTCTAGTCCCTTGAGCTGATGGGGACTTGTAGAAAGGAGCTTACAATACCTTGGCTTTTGCTCTTCCTGTTCTGGGGGCTGTCAGACGGCTTGAGCCTCTGGGCCAGTCAGTTCATTACTTTTAATGAGCACAAAATTCACCAAGACATTAAAATAAAATAAAACACCAATGGGCAGTCTTCAGTGTTCTATCCAATTGTCACTTTAGTTCTTTTTTCCACAGGATTATTCAAGAGGATGAAGAAGAAAAAAAAACCAATTCTGTTCACTCCTGCCAATTTTATCCTAAGTAGATTTGGCATTGTAAAGCTAATACACCCCAAACCTTTTTTTTTTTCTTTCAGGTCCCTGTGGGCTGGTACCTGACATTTGTGTTAAAAATGACATTGCTTGACTGGTCAAATGTTTGAAAATTGTCTCCTTTTTAAATGTAATCAAGAAATATTGGCTATTCCAACACCATGTAACATATAAAAAATAATAGAGGAAGACAGTTACTTTCTGAAAAGGGTAAAATCAAGTTATTATTTTAAATCCCAAGGTAAATGCAGCTACTCTGATAAGAATATTTTAAATCGATCAGTCTCAGTCACTAGTAGTAAACGCTGTAATAACTGTGTTAGAGGCTTCTTATATTATCATGTACTATTATCATACGCTGTAGAAAGTGAATCAATGTTGAGGTAGACACTGAACAATGTTTCCATTAAGATGATTTCATGGATATTTTCATCTCTTGGCCATATGGATTTGGAATTACTTTGGGTACTTTTTTTTAAAGAAGGAAGCGAAAGATGAATGATAACTTTTATTACTCAACATACCTTGTGTTTGTGGAAGACAAAGTTCATCAAGTTGTTTTAAAGAAAAATAAGAGTGTGCCAACTGTAATTTGTTGAGGGCTCAAGAATTGTGAAATTATCCCTAACTGAAGTTTGTAATTTCTACAGGTAATCGCTCTAGCAGATGCAGTAGAGGAAAACCAAGCCAATCTGTTCCAGTCATTCACCAGGCTGAAAAGTGCCACCCATTTGGTGATTCTGCTGATCGGGCTGTGGCAGAAGCTCAGTGCGGACCAGATTGCTATTCTGGAAGCGGCATTTCTGCCACTGCAGCAGGACACTCAGGAACTGGTAAGGACCCACAGGCCTGCAGTGGTAACAGCCAGCATTATTGGAAAGATTGTGGTTTTATAAAGAGACCACATGGCTATCGTGTTTTTTAAGGTATCAAATGAAATCTTGGTTTTGTTTTTGTTTTGTTTTTATCCAAATTCTGTTTTCCTTTTCTTCAAACCATAATGTCAAGTAAAGGCCTTTTTTTTTTTTTTTCTAGAGATATTTAAAAAATAGGTATATGGTCCATTTTTATGTGGTATCCAGTTTTTTTTTTTTTTTAAATATGTTCTTCAGTCACTTAGGAGCCAGGGAAATAGTCATTGACCACCAGAGTGATGGCAGTAAACCTTCAGATTAGCTAATCCTTTCCTTTTCCACCGGAGAAAACAGTTCAGCCATTTTATTTGCTCAATGTTCTTAAATGTAAGTGTCACTTTAAGAGAGAGAGAACTGAGATAGCCTTGCTGAATTGCAGGGATACTTTGTTACATTTATAAAGTTCTTTTTTTAAATATGTAGATCTTTATATGTAATTTATAAACTCTTATTCTTGATCCTGTGAATAGGCAGTTTAGAACAAAAAGGGGAAAAATTGGCATATGTATTTGGAGTTTTTGGTGAAGGATAATATAAATAGAATATCTTAGTTGCCTTGAACCATTGAGGTACATGACCACTAGATGCCATCATTGCATGCTTTTATTTACAATGAAATAACATACTTGGAAATTAGAGACCCTTGAACTTAGGTTTTTTTGTATTTTGAAATGGAGGAAACCATTTCAAGAAAAAAGTCATTTCATATCCATTTTTAAAGTCATGTGAAAACATGGTACTAAAGATAATAGTACTAAAACTGAAATTTTGGTCCCACATTTTCTTTTAAGTGTTTTACAAGGATTATCTCATTTAATCTTAAACATGGACCTATAATATAGTTAAGGTGTTTTCATCACCATTTTACATATGGGAAAATTTAGGTTTTGAAAGCCTAAATTTTGGGAAAATTTAGGCTTTCTGATGCTTGTGGGTAGTAGAGTTTGTTTCAAAGTCTCTCTGCTTCCAAAGACATGTTTTTAAATTATATACTGTATTTTAGCAAAGTCATGAGCATGATTTTGAAAATCTCAAGCTTTGTCAGTTGAGTTTGATTTTCTCCAGTTGGGTCAAAGGATTGTCAGAGTGAAGAAAAAAAAAAATCAAGGTACATTTTATATTCTAAACAAAGTAGTAAAAATAAATTAGGAAAAAAATTAGCATTCCCATTTTTTTAGGTTGATAAAATTACATCTAAAATAGGCCTTTGAGGAGCTAGAAATATACATTGTAATAATAGAAAGTAAACAATAGAATGGTTAGCATTATATTAATAAAATACTAGCTATCACTTTAAAAATGTTTATCTATTAATTTTTGGCTCTGCTGGGTCTTTGTTGCTGCATGGACCTTTCTGCAGCTGTGGGGAGCAGGGACCACTCTCTAGTTGCGGTGCGCGGGCTTCTCATTGTGGAGGCTTCTCCTATTGCGGAGCACAGGCTCTGCAGCTCACAGGAATCAGTAGTTGTGCAGTGTGGGTTCCGCAGTAGTGGTCCCTAGAACACAGGCTCAGTAGTTGTAGCATATGGGCTTAGTTGTTCCTCGGCATGTGGGATCTTCCTGGACCAGGGATTACATCTGTATCTCCTGCATCGGCAGGTGGGTTCTTTACCACTAAGCCACCGGAAAAGCCCTCACTATCACTTATGAACTCAGATTTAGTAGTCAAAAAGACTTGAGTGACCTCAGATCCTGGTTCTACCACTTAACAGCACAGGCCTTCTGGTCAAGTTTCTTAACCGATCTAAATCTCTGCTTCTATCGCTTTAAGATGGAAACCACTATGTTACCTGACCAGAAAGTTGTGATAAGAATTAAATGAGATAGTTGGATAGAGTGCTCATCATCATTGGAAGTGGTTTGTCTACTTCAAGTATATAATTTATAGTCCTCACTAAAGCCAGGCAAGGTAGATATTACTACCTTTTCATAGTGATTTGTCTCCTCAACTACACTTGAGGGCAGGGATTATATCTTACTTATTTTTTCTGTTCTTAGTGCCTGGCACAATGCTTGACCATAGTGCAGTCAATATTTGTTAGGTGAATGAATGGTGATGAGGGTGAAACTAACAAGAGTGACTTGGCAGAACAGATGCACTAGATTGAATCTGAAGCAGGGCAGGGCCAGCTGCACAATGTCCAGGGCCAAGTGTAAAGTGAAAATGCAGATCCATTGTTCAAGAAAATAGGAAAAAAAGCTAACGTGCTGTTTAAACAGGTACTAAAACCATGTTTTTTTTAGTTTCTGCATTCTCTCTCTCATTTGTATGTTGTCCTAAACAAAGAAAAATTTAAAGAATCACCACCGTTATACAATTTGTATTTCGTGGCTTTTGCATGCATATGTATTTCACTCTTACAGAACCACAGAATCACTGCACAAAACTTAAGCTTCTTTATTTCCCTTCTTAACCTATGCACATCTTCCAACATTCCCTCCCTCCAGCTTCCTGTTGAGTAAGGAAGGGCTGAAGGAGAAGGAACTCTGTGTCACTCTCCTACCCTTTCCTTCTGTGTTATCAGTCTCAGTGTAAGTCATTCAATAATATAGGGAAGTAACAGGAGTCTAGTGGGTTTCCTTAGTCATTCCTGTTTCTTTGTATCTATTGCCTCTTTTTTTACTCCATGCAAGTTCTGGTTCAAATGAAAAGCCTCTCGGGGCTGTCAGTTCCTTCATTTAATCAGCCCAGATGGAACAGGCCTTCCTCCTGCTTACCTCGAGTCTCTGTTAACTCCCACTCACCCTGGGGCCACGGGGATTCTGAGCTACAGGGCTGCATGTGAAGTAAGGAAAGGAGAAAGGAGGCATGCATATTACACACATCCTCCCTTCTCACACATGCTTCATTGTCTCATCAGACTTCACTTACAAAGCACAAATTCAAAGATAGAATTATTAAGAATTTCAAGATGGTGGCAACAAAGCATTAAACTGGATGTGAGGCCCTATGCAATTATACAGCTTGCATGCTCCTGAAGCTGGCTCTTAGGGCAGGAAGAATTCCCTAGAAATAAACATTCTCAAATGTAGGAATTGAGTCTTGAGAGAGACTCTAGTATTTCTGACTCTAGAGATCTTTAAACACAGCATTTATTGGGAGTATGTAAGTATGCTCAGAGGCAGGTGAATGGACTTCTCAAAGCCACTTTCTGCCCTGTCTCTGTATTGTCTGCTGTCATACCTCCCAGAACATTACTTCAACTTTCTTCTGAATTTGGTGAGATTAGAAGGTGTGTATGCTTGTTATGTCTGTTGAAGTCATTAATGAGACAAGACATTTGATAAAAACATAACTTGGAGAAGAATAGATCAAAAAAGACACTTTAGTACTGCTTGTTATGTTCTTCATCTTTAATTAGGTTGTGGTATTCACTTCGGACTTATACTGTTGAGACAGCTTATATATCTTGAGAAAAAAAAGAATCCTTTTTCATTCTTTAAGATGTATGCAAGCCGTATGTGGTTTTGACATGCTAGTTCACAATCCCCCATGTTATGCCTTTAGACCTCACAAATAAATGTTATGTGATGGGTATCCCGCTGAGATGTGAAAATGAAATATGCAAACCTGAAATAACTTGGAAGGAGGGCGAGGTGGGGAAGAAAGGAGTCTCTGACCAGAATGTTGAAAATATATCCCATATTGAAGTTATTATGATACCACAAAAATCTGAATGCAATTTAGACGGTTTGGTTGAGGTTGGAGGGCAGAGTACATGTATGAGGGGGAGAACTTTAGACATGTGGGCAACATTTTTAGAAGAGCCTCTCAGTTCAAGGTCAGATGTCCCCACAAAAGTGTAAAGTGAAAATGCAGATCCATTGTTCAAGAAAATAGGAAAAAAAGCTAACGTGCTGTTTAAACAGGTACTAAAACCATGTTTTTTTTAGTTTCTGCATTCTCTCTCTCATTTGTATGTTGTCCTAAACAAAGAAAAATTTAAAGAATCACCACCGTTATACAATTTGTATTTCGTGGCTTTTGCATGCATATGTATTTCACTCTTACAGAACCACAGAATCACTGCACAAAACTTAAGCTTCTTTATTTCCCTTCTTAACCTATGCACATCTTCCAACATTCCCTCCCTCCAGCTTCCTGTTGAGTAAGGAAGGGCTGAAGGAGAAGGAACTCTGTGTCACTCTCCTACCCTTTCCTTCTGTGTTATCAGTCTCAGTGTAAGTCATTCAATAATATAGGGAAGTAACAGGAGTCTAGTGGGTTTCCTTAGTCATTCCTGTTTCTTTGTATCTATTGCCTCTTTTTTTACTCCATGCAAGTTCTGGTTCAAATGAAAAGCCTCTCGGGGCTGTCAGTTCCTTCATTTAATCAGCCCAGATGGAACAGGCCTTCCTCCTGCTTACCTCGAGTCTCTGTTAACTCCCACTCACCCTGGGGCCACGGGGATTCTGAGCTACAGGGCAGCATGTGAAGCAAGGAAAGGAGAAAGGAGGCATGCATATTACACACATCCTCCCTTCTCACACATGCTTCATTGTCTCATCAGACTTCACTTACAAAGCACAAATTCAAAGATAGAATTATTAAGAATTTCAAGATGGTGGCAACAAAGCATTAAACTGGATGTGAGGCCCTATGCAATTATACAGCTTGCATGCTCCTGAAGCTGGCTCTTAGGGCAGGAAGAATTCCCTAGAAATAAACATTCTCAAATGTAGGAATTGAGTCTTGAGAGAGACTCTAGTATTTCTGACTCTAGAGATCTTTAAACACAGCATTTATTGGGAGTATGTAAGTATGCTCAGAGGCAGGTGAATGGACTTCTCAAAGCCACTTTCTGCCCTGTCTCTGTATTGTCTGCTGTCATACCTCCCAGAACATTACTTCAACTTTCTTCTGAATTTGGTGAGATTAGAAGGTGTGTATGCTTGTTATGTCTGTTGAAGTCATTAAT